AACTATGATGGCGCAGTAGAAACCCAACTAAGGAGCCATGTTTATCCAGAATACATGATTCCATCACGTCAGAAACGAACTGTGGAAGACATTTCTGCTAATTATTCAATTAATAATTTACTCAGGAAATGAGTAGTTATCTCTTATTATGATGGGGGACTCACTCGTGTTAATCTGATATCTTCTGAGAGAACCATACCCCCATGAGTATTGAGTTTTAAAATGAGCTGTGGATCCTATGCCGATCCTAATGCAATCGTTGAATCTGTTGTTACATGAATTTAATATTAATTATGAAGGACGTTAATTCTGAATAAAAGGATTAACAGAATCGAATTAAGTATAGGCGCCAATAATAAAAATTAAGCAATCTTCAGCCTACAATAGGATGATGAGAAGACAGAATATTGCAATAATTATATTTAAGGATTCCTCTTGATCGGTTACACGAGCCGTTCATTACAGGAAATATGGTAACGCGGTTTGATTAATTTCGTCAAGAGGATTACGTATTATGGGCAAAATTTAACAAAGAAAGAGACAGAGAAATACCAATATTACGTCCGTATGTAAACCAACAGGGCATACAAAGCAATCCGAATATGTTAATCAGAACCCAAACAGAATCAATAGACAATGACGAAAATAATTCTGCACCAATCGATTGTCATTACCCCCACATATATATAGTACAAGAGGGGACAGAAATAGTGAAGGAATTGTGGGGGTGGTTATAATATATTACAACAAAGACAACATGAAGATTAAGAGAAAATTCAAGTATTGAGTCATAAGAAGAAACTAGGAATAACAGATATGTGTGAATGTAACCAAGTTTTCCATTCTTCATATCATGAATTGTAGTAAACTAAGAAAGGCACCTACGACATTCCTCACTTGGGGGTGTTAAGGGAATCTACATTATGGGTATGAACTAGGGATTCATCAATTCTGAGACGCATAAGGAGGATATTAGCCGCAAAAATACACGTAATTTACATCCCTTTATACATTGCTATGATTTATTGATAAAAAACTATGTGTTATTCACCTCTTTATACCTTACCATGGAACATATATATACCCATGGATATACTTATATGTATATTCATTCGTTTCTATATGTGAGATTACTTCATGAGTCATAAAAATAAGAAGTGTTAACCTCGTGAATCATGATGCCCATCTGGCGTCCTACAGAGAAGGGGTACCCAGGAACCCAACGAAAAAGGAGAGGAATGGTACCGATGGTACAAATTTTTACGCGGAAAGAAAGAATAGTTAGCATTATATGCAGATTCGAATGGGAAGATTATTCATTTGGCATAAAAATGTTCCCCCTAAAATTACACGACTGTTCATGACGTGTCTCATCTATGCATATATAAAGGGAGTAATGGACTGTTGAATCTGAACTGGTATAATATCAATTCTAATTTCATGTTGAACTTTAATTGTATGTTGCATACAATTGAGAGGGCTGCTATAGCGTTTAAATGTGTTTATGCATTCCTGTGGAAACTGCAATGAGTACAATGGAATAGAGATATAGAGATCCAATGGGTACCGCGTGAAATGCTGGGCCGCCGTGTTTATATGGCTTCCTTTATAGTTACCTTATTTTTGGGAAGGGGTTCTCATGCCCCATCCTTCTTGTTAGTGTGTCTTTTGATGTTTCGATATCTTCACCAGTATCCCCCCGTATTTTGCATTATTCCTATGTATTTTTTCTCATGTTTCAGCATTTTTATGAGAGTATTTTTTCATGGCGCTCCCTTCTTATATATGCGTGTTCAGGTGGGCGAATTTTGCGAACTTGATCTCCTCTGGGCTGATTTTCCGCAGACGCTGTTCCATACTGCGTAATTCTTCGCGCACGCCTTTCCATGTGGCGTAATTTCTCCACGACATAGGTTCATGTGGATTAACCTGGTCAGAGTTGTCTCATGTGGATCAATTTTTGGGGTGGCCCCCTCATGTTTTATGTCTGTCGCAGGCAAGCTGTTTCGTATCGCTTCATTATATATATCTCTCTATTTAATTTTTTCATGAGGATACACCTTTCTGTCGCATTCCTTTCACGACAATTTCTGGAGGGTTCCTGTATGATGACATCCCTCGCAGCCTCCTTATGAAGATGTCTTTACCTGCCGCGTTTTTATGACGATTACTTCTGTGTCGTCTTTCGATGATGCTTTTCTTCTCTACATTTTAATGATGCTCTTTGTGCGAGTCATTTCGCTGTTCTCGTCCTACGTGACTGTGATTTGTATTCTTCCGCGGCGGCCCTGTGATGCGTACTGCTTTGCCGCGGTTGTATGATACTTTCTGTCTGTTTTGCATTTTTCTAAGGATGCTTATATCTGGCATGTGACTATAATAATGCTTCTTCGTGTTACATTTCTGCAGAACTACTCTCCTGTTGTTGCGTCCATATGAAGATTTATCTGTGTGTGGAATTTTTTTCAGGATGATATTTCCTGTTCCCTTTTTATGAAGTTCTCTTCTTTTATGGTGCGTCAATGTGAGGTGTATTTTCCCTGTATGCCATCCATCTCTGCAAGATTCATTTTACCGCGTTGTACTTCTAATATATTTTTTGCCTCGTCAGTCCTATAGGGACGGAGTTTTTGGCTGTGTTACTATTAAGATTCCTGTTTGTGTTTCATTTCTTTCCTGACGATAGTTTCTTCTTCGGGTGCCCTGATGAGGTTTCTTGGGCCACGTCATTATGAGAATTCCTGTTGGTGTAGCATCTTCCTTACGAAGAATCCCTTTACCGCGTTATATTCATGATATTCTTCTGTTTCGCTGCTGTTTAAAGATGCCTCTTCCCTCTACTATGCTACCGCGAAGATATTTTCGCGAGGCCCTCTTTTTATGAAGATATTTGTCTTCCGCGGCATACTTATGATGATTCTATTTTCCGGCGGCATCCTCAATATATTGTTTTGTGTCATTTGTTTTATATGGATTCTCCTTTCTCCCGCGGCATCGTGGAGATGTTCTTCTTTGTGTCATCTTTTCTACGATCATTTACCCTCCTTCGCGGCCTCCTGAAGATTTCCTCTCGTGTGCGATTTTCTCTATGAAGATGCTCTTTTTCTGCGGCATGGTTAAGCTGCTGTCCTGTTTCTTATTTCTTTTATGAGGATCCTTCCTTCTCCTGGTATCTTCAGGATTTTCTTTTGTGCCGTCATCTTGAACCTGTTTTTTTGCCCCGATCATTCTGAAAAGGTTTCTCTTTGCCGCATCATCGTGAAGATGCCCTTCTGGCTGTATCCCTGCTGATATGTTGTATTTATTATATGTTATTCTTTTTTGTCACAATCCTCTGTTTCCTAATATCTTCAACAGCGTGCTTATTTTCTTTCTATGTGGCTGCATTATGAAGATTTGTCCTCTCTTTGGCTATTATGAGAATTGCCACCTATGTGAAGTGTAGATATCATGACCATACGGATATGGTAACATTAAGAAACCTGAATAATATACGGATGTGTAGAAGCGCACCTTTATCCCTAGAATATTATTGTTTTAGAAGTGATGATGTTCATGCAGTACTATCAGGTGGATAGCCGTGTTACCTGGATAACACTGTTAAATGAGGGAGGAAGTTTCCGTCAAGAGTAAGGATCTCCTGGAGTTTTATTGTAGGAAAGCTACTGACGTTTCCGTAGTACTCATATGTCCAAAGTACTGACATGCTTATCGTTTTGTTACAGCAGGGGGACAAGGCCGCTTGTGGTACTTTTACTTTCAGAATACTGGTGTCCCCTGTTCACACTGGTACAACCCGGGGATGCACGTGTAGTACTTTTACTTGAAGTGCATAGATACTCTAGAACTCTCATTTAAATCGTACTAAAGTGTTGTGATTTTCAAAGGTTCCCAATCCGGAGATTTTCATGGTATTGTCATATGGAAGTCCTAGTAACATAACTATCTGCATGACCTCTAGTGTTATCATACTAAGCTGCACCTTTATGTGTTGTTCCATAATGAATATCCTTATATTCAGAATACGATCTTATGAAAAATTACATGTTTGCCAGCAGTAGTGTCATGTTAAGAGTATTGTTCTGTGGATAATACTTCTATTTAGACACCACAGTCTCTTAGTGAGTACTCCTGATTTGCCTTGCCAATATGAAGAAGGTACAGACGGATGTATAGTACTCATATTGGGGGATAGCTGACGTGCTTGGTAAACCGCTATCTGGATGGGGACGAATCCCAGATAGTTGTACTAAATGATGTATTCTGGTTATAGTATATATGTGGCGTAACCTCTTACCATTCGCGGAGATTTATGGTATGGGAAGTGCACAATCTGGCGTAATATATTTATGTGAAAGATACTTTTGCGTCGAGTGTGTTAATGTGTGAAGTACCCTGTTAATTGACCAACACTACTGTTATGTGGGAGGCTCTGTATCCCAAAAAGTAGGCCTATGCTTGGATTATCAGGATGTCAAGGGTTTTGATGTAAGTTTAATGACTTCATTACATTACGTGCCGAATTGCGCAAATGCTAGGGATTATCTGTAATACTATTACTTAAAGGGTATTGCTACTGCGGGAGTTTGATGATGTTGAAAATACTTTCTTGTTTTGAGTATTGATCTTCCAGGAGTGCTATTATGCTACGTGGTACCATTGTATCTGCCATTATGTGCCTTCCTTAGTACGACTATATATCTGTGGTATTATTCTTTGGAGAGTAAGCGTGTACAAGTAATATCGTTATGTTAACAATACTGTTGTCTGGATAATACCTTCATTTGAAGTGCACAGTTGTATAGCGGTATTGATGAGTCGAAGTATTATTGTGTGAAGAGTACATAGATATAGGCCGTACTCATAGCTGCAGCGTTCTAATATCCCCGGTACATTCTTATTCGGAGCATCAGAAAATTACGATAGTACTGTCAAGTAATTTATGTTCAAGCAGATAAGATATATGGCATCATGATTTATCCTATGCACAGAGTTACATCATGGAGGGTACGAGCGTTTCCGTAATAGTCTTATATGAGGCCTACTATGGTATGAACCACGTGGACCTGTTCAATGTTCCGTCATTTGAGGAGTATTACGGTTATGTACCGAATTGTGTCCCTAGAGCAGCATGCCTGTCCTTGAATGTGCCATTATATGAAGCGTCTGGATTTAAGTTTAGTGGCCCAATTATATGGTGTACGGGATTTTACAACTCCTAAGAAATATTACCCACACCATTATTTTCATTGTATTATGGTGGTAAGAGTATTATGATGTAGATGGTACCCCTGTGCTTGAAATATTGATATTCCACGGGTGTAATTATCTGGAAAGCACTATTCCGTTGATTGTATGGTTATTGCAGGAGGATTACTGCGTGCACAGTCCTGATGTGTCTGGATTTGGAATGGTAATGATTAGGGAAGTTGCCGTAGTAGTGTGATATAGATGTACTAATGGTTGAGTTGTAGTAATATCTATTGTGCATTGTTGTTTGAATAGAATACCTCCGTGGCAGGTATGCATAATCTGGAACCGTATCTTGTGAGTACAATCACATGTGCATAGTATCGGCCTTTAAGAAGCGAAATTGTTCGCATTTTAGGACTCTCCCTCAGCAAGAACGATATGAAGGGTCTGAACTTCGAGGCCCAAGATTTCAGCCTTTATTCTACGAAGGACACTGCTGTCTCGGACTGGTAACAGTCTCTGAAGTATTATTATATTAAGAGTGGAAAAGTGAATAGAGCTGCATGATTTTAGGAGCACGGTCCTACAAAGTGTACACATGTCCCTAAATTACTCCTGTGTGACAATAACTTCTTAGTTTTGAGTGCTGATATTCTCACAGTAGTATCCTGTGAATAGTCCACTTTTGTCCGAAATATTGATATGGAAGGAATGACATTGTTGGGATGAGTACGACTGTGACCACCATACTATGATTTAAGTAGTACTGACGTACAGGGGTTATCATTTTTTCTACCGTGTCTGTGTGACTCGAGAATAATATTATATGAATGATATCATTCGATGAATTTAACAGATATACGTGCTGTAGTATTATATAAAGAGAACAGTTGTTTAGGATGCTGGAGCATATAACAGGTGTCCATGTTTGTGAAGTATAAAGCTGTACCAGCAGGTATTATTATATGAGCATTCAGGGATTATACAAGTACTGCACAAGAATCTAAATCGTTTGAAACCTGCAAACCGCCTGGAACACATTTACTTAAGAAGGAGCAATATACCAGTGGTGATTCCATGTGAGGAGCGTGAGTATATGGAGAGTGCCATTCTGTTGAGTCTACTGACATGCTGAATGCACTACAAGGTGAAATGTGATCATGTTCCTCGTGAAATGTTATCTGAGAGGTTCCATTGCGCCTGCATTGGGCTTATCTGAGGAGCACATCTGCGTAAAGTGTAAGGATATCCTTCAGTGTTACTGTATATGAAACATACCGAACTGTTCGTAGTACTTACATGTGGAGAGTACTTACACCGTTATTCTATTGGTATTTGGAAACAGGAGCTGCATTTGGGGTCCCGTTATTTGTACAATACTTGTGTGGATCCTCATTCCCCGTAATGTGCACGGATATAAGTGTACTACTATTATGTGACGAGTATAGTGGTGTATATACTAGTGTATGTTAAATATTCCGGGTTTATGCTTTCATTATATGAATAGCAGTGTCCTATAGAGTCAATGGATATTGCAGTCTAAGTATTATCTAAAGAATAATAACGTCTCTGGATGTTCAATGGTGAGGGGTCTAAATGTCCGCATAGTACTGTTCTATGAAGGTACTAGTAGTCGAGTTATATGGATCATCTGGAATACTACTATACCAATAAGAGCATGATGTGTGGAGTTTCCAGCCCTTTTAAATAAGAATAACCTTGGCGGAAGATTCTTCAAAGGCGTAATCATATGAAGAAAGTACAGTTCTGTTTACAGCCCTGTATTGTGAATAATCCTCCTATTTGAAAAGAACATCTATTAAAGAAGTATTCATTACCTAGCGTACTGTTATCGAGACAGTACAGATGTATGTATTATACTGAAATATACAATGTGCGACCCTGCCTGGTACACTCATATTTGAGGAATGGTAAAGTTGAGATAGTAGTATTAAGTGAACTATTTGGAAAGGTTGGATTTAAGGCTTCAGCTTCTATCATATGGGGTGCACTCCGGCTGCCTGAAGTAAGAGGTCGTTGTAGTAATCTAATATAGGGGGTGGTATTGTCTGAACCGTGTAAACGTGTCAAATCCAGTATTATTTGAGAAACCCTACTGTTATGTATGCCATTGTGTCCCTTGATGACTACCACTATTTTCAGCATACGATTATTTGAAGGGTTTCGAGTTAAGTTCAATGCGTGGATTATAATGAATCCTTGATTGAACCAATCATAAAGTTTGTCTGGAATATTGTATTTTGAAAACTGCAACCGTGCCAAAATCGGTATAATGTCAATGGTACTTTCGTGTGTATACTACTGATATTACAAGAATCTTATTATTTGTAAAACAATCTTCTGTAGGAAGAATGGAATAAAGCAGGATAAATATTAACTCACAAAATCTGATATGTTTGCCTTTTTAATCGTGATAGTTGCGAAACTTCCTCCCGTACTACTCAATAGGGACACTGGTGTTTAATGTCTAAGGATCATCCCCCAAGCTCTAATGGTTGGAGAACCAACAAATGTGAAATGCTTTGCATTGATGAGTAGGAATAACACAGAAAGAGCATTCTTTGAATTGTTGCCATATAAGATTAAGATATCTATTATATAAACTGAAGAATTGTGCAAGTCATGTAGGAAGCCTAGGATAGTATTCTTTGAAAAATACAACGACACAGAAAGTACTCTAATGTTAAGATTACTTATGTATATGCCCTGGTAACATTCAACAACTGGTCTTATTAATCAAGCCCTATTCTATGAGTTAACTAAACATTCCAAAAAAACAATTGTCTGGAAAATAAAGATGTGTAACCATTCCAAATAGTGAAAATTGTGGATATTCCCGTAGTAATGTTATAAAACTGTCCTAATAAATAATCTGAAATGAGGTCAGCCAAGTATTATTCTTTGAACAAAAAACATCCATAGGAAATATGCCAAATCCGAAGCCTACTTCCGTTAGAAATTATATATCTGAGTAGTATTCTTATTTGCAAGGCTAACAGGAAACTAACATTATAACCGTCTCCAGGGCAAAATTCTTTGAAAAATCTCGATATACGGAGAATAATTTTATATAGAGGATACTATTTTATTAAACGTGAAACTAAATCCGTAATAATATGACATAATCTACAAGTCTATGACCCAGAAGTTAAATTAGGGTGGCTAAAGAATTGAACGTTCCGTTATTTGAATAAATCCCTTGTACATATATCATAGAAGCCACCTCATTTGCGAAACATTATTTTAGAAAACCTTAAAGAAACAATACCCCTATGACAAAGTAAGAATCGTACAGATTCCTATGATGTATCAACCATAGACATTTCTGAGAAAGTTCACTATCCTGGAAGTAGTATTTTATAGAGAATGCATTTCTCCCAAAAGTATCATTGCAATAACTAAAATAATTGCAGCAGGAGAAACTCTGACAACGGGATACAGGTCCCAGGACCATAAAAACCTCTTATTATCTAGAAACAAGAACTAAGAGAGACTGAAATAGAAAATTTAACTAAGGTGAGATTTCTAAATTACAACTCCGGGGCCATTACCCCAACTAATCTATTAGACACGCAAAGATGAATATATCTGGTGAGTCAGACTACACCCACCACAGCTAAGAGAAAGGATAAAGGAAAATTAACGAAGGAGATAAGAATAATCAACTAACCCAACCTACACCAATGAAGGGAGACGGTGGATCCCAAGCAGGAACATGAAGTAATATAGAAACCCAAAAAAGAGTTAAAAAGGAATCTCTCGTAGCAGAACCAAAGGAGGGTTAGGAAAACCCAAACAAAAGAGGACGATCCACACCCCCAACATCCAGGAACAGCTGATGAAGCCAGTAGTACAAACCTTTTCTGACAACCAACTATTCCAGTTATCCAACAAGAAGGAACCGGATCCCTGACTGAAAGCATTCTTAAATATGTAAGTTCGTCTTCTAAGATTTTTGCTGATCCTAACGAACATTAGAATTCACCTTGAGAACTCCGAAATTTTATTTGAAACACTGAGATATAAATGACATAACTGAGATCTAATCTAATTCCTGAAAGGAGATAAAGATAAACAGTAAGGTAAATTCATCCAAGGGATTCAGGAGTCTTCATTAGGAGCTATTCATTTATTATGAAAATTCGAATCGCGAACGCCTATAAAATCTCAGACATTTATCTCGTCCGTTGTAAGTATGAAACCTCGGGACAACCGCAATTTTTGATACATAAGAGGCAGTGGGAATAGAAGAAGCCTAATGAGTCAAGGACGAAGCAATGCTAAACCACCCAGGGGACGAGTTAGTTTGTTTAATGTCTATTCAGTGTTGACCTGGAGCCAATTATATGAATTTCCAATCTTTGATTAAACTTAAGCCTATAGATTTATCCTTAATTTTATCTATGAATTTACAAATTATAGGATAAAATCCAAAGGACTATAACGCCCAACTACAACCTAAACAAAAACAGGGATATAAATAATCATGATGTACAATCGGATTACTCTCCTTAAAATCTCACTCCCAGGAGGGGGTCACTTTTTAAACAAAAGAGGTATCAACAGAATACTCCCCTCGGTTAGGTAAAATAACCCCCTACTCACAGAAGACGACAATAATAGATCCCGGAGGATCAAACAAGAATTTAAGCGGGCCAGATTCGACTGTCCAAGATCGACAACGACGGCGAGTACGGCCAAAGGAACCAAACTAAGGATAAGCCAAGGGGCGAAACTCTACAGGAGACAACCAGGATCGGTACATCAACAATCAAAAGGGACAACTTCCCACCTCCAACAAAATGGAACATCCAAATACCGCACCTACAAAATCCAGGAAAACAGCCCAAGAAGCTCTGAATAGGCGAACAGGTGATAACCAACTCAACAGCTCAAAATCAAGGGCCCCGTAAAAAGCCCACCTACCCGCAAAAAAACCCCAAAGGTCCCCCGAACCACCCCCCCCCATAGAAGAAGGCTACGAAAGTGGAGAAAGATACATCTACCTCAAAGCCGTCTTTAAAAGTTCGAATCAGCTCCAAAGAGACTGACCAACACTATCTCCTCCTCAAAAAAAACAAACACCAAACTACCATCATGAACCGAGGATCTGCTACAAAGAAAGAAATATTCCAACAAAAAAGAGAAGCTTCCACCCCTAGAAAGAGCAGCATCAAAAGCAAGCTCAAAAGGAAAAAAAGGATAAAAAGAAGACTAGGAAAAGGACAAAGAAGGAGCCAGATGGAAAATTAACAAGTCTCCGACGTTGACTGAAAACTCCCGAGAAACGACAGAAGGGTCCAAGTAAAATACGGTCAAAGTCCCCAGACAATACCAAGTAACCTCTCCAGCAGTAGGGAGCCAAGGAGTCAGCAGGGGAACAAAACCAACCCAAGCATTGGAACAGGAGAGAACCAACTCCTGAAGGATAAAGGGACAGCTAAAAAGAAGAAATGCTACTCAGATAGAGCCGGAGTATAAGAAAAAGAAGAGGACTCAAGGCAATAATTCAAGCCACAAGGTACCAAGAAAATTTTCATCCGTAACAGTTAAACGAGCACTTCTCCAGGACCCCCAGGTCTAAGCCAAATAACCAACCAAGACCTCAGAAATACAATCAAAGTCAAATAGCAGATGAGAAACAAAATCAACAGGACACCTCAAAGGAACAGACAAACCACAGGAGCCCAAAGTAAAGTCACCCAAAACTGCTTCAAACCGGAAGATAACCGCGAACAAGATCTACAAGAGGAATCCCGACCACCTACAGAAATCCAGACAAGGAATAATGGCCATCTAAGGAAAACATCAAGTCTCACTAAAGAGAAAACCAGAAGGAATTAGTCTCCAAGATTCCACTCAAGAAGGAAATGAGAAGTCTGACAAAGGGTTCCCACCCAAGAGGAAAACTCAGATCCCAGAAGCGGCAATAGTGAACAGATCAGGTCCAATAGACTCCTAAGGAAAGAACAAATAACAGGAACTGGGAAGGAAAAACGCCTTGAGGGAGGACCTCCCTAAAGGTTGATGGCAAATCACCTGCAAAACAAAGAAGGACCAATATCCCCAACAGGAAGGAGAGAAGTTTAGATCATCCACCGCACAACTAGGTATGCTAAGAATGAAAATAACAGACCAAATGCAACGTCTGACCCAAAGGGACAAAAAGGAGTATAAATGACCGAGAATATAACCCAACAACGAACAAGCCAAGGCTTCTGTAGAGGACGAACGATAGGACAAAGGTGACCCCGAAGGAACGAGGCCGAATGAGATATCAACTATAAACGAGGACAAGAGGCAGGAACAGAATTCCGAGACGGAGAACATCATGGTGCACTTCTTCACTGAACAAAAACTCAGAGACTATTATAAACAAGAAACAACAGCAGAAGTCAAGGGGAAGAATCTCGGGCCAGTATCAACAACAGGACATCTAATCATCTAGCCAATTCAAAAAGAAAAGTGGAGTTTTAGGGGGTAGGATCTGGACAGCCGACGAGAAAAGGAGACAAGGCGTATCCAGGAATGATGATAACAGAAAAAAAGAAATAGAAAATACATGAGATGACTCCTTCAGACGAAAATACAGCAAGACAAAGCCAAAAGGATACGATCACAGAAATGAAAATTCCCGAGAATGCTGAATGCAACACCAATGAGAAGGTACCTCAGAAGACCTCCTGACCAGAACCCCGACACTCTTCAATATAAAGTCGAACTAAAACTGGAAGCAGGGACCAAACAGGGAGAGACTCAGTTTAAAATGGAAGCAGCATAACACCAATAGAGATGATGAATCAGGACAGGAAGCCGACAATTAGAGGCACCTAAGGTGATAAGTCAAACATTGTCAGATCCAGAACAGCACTGAGGGACCTAAACTAGACAACAGGACAGAGAAAAATAACGTAATGAAGAGGGAGTTGTCGTAGGAAAGGAGGATAAAGGAGCAACTGAGTGCAGACGTCTCCAAGACACAGACGAGACAGCCACCGAATATCTAAGGACCAGAAACAGCGAACCCCGGTCGTTCACAGGTCTTTGCAGGGTTCCCACGGAAACAAGAGAAGAATCAGGATCTCAGGGGGTCCCGGGAACAGCGCAACATACAAAAGCCTCTACAATGCCCCAGAGCCAAATAGGGGCAATACACGACCAAAGAGCGGAAAGATAAGGTCAAGTAGAACAAAAAGGGGACAAGATCCAAGACAGGCAGGAGTCAGACCTGGAGGAGAGGCAAAACACTATCCAAGGCCAAGTGAAGCCAGGAGTCCAACAACTTAAGGGAAAGAGGTCCCAGCAGGACAGCCAGGGAAACCGAGCCACGTGCATGTCAGGCAAAGCAATCACGAGCAGGGGGCAAGCCAACAGTCAACAAATCATAAATGCCCCCTCGAAGACTAAGGCTCCTCAGGGGGGAAGAATAAGCCCCAAAGATGAGGAGAGGAGAATAACTCGAACTCTCAGTGATGCTTCAGAAATTGACCCGGAGTCTTGGGGGCACAAATGGAGGCCAAAAGGGACCCCCCAGGGGAAAAAGGGGAAGAGGATGACAGATGGGAACGGCAAGGGAGAGAGACCTAAGAAATCCGGGAAGGCGGAGGGTCAGAAGATTCGGACACGGAAGACAGCAGGGAAGGGGAGGATTCCCAACAGGCAGAAGACGGGAGGCAAGATTAAGTGGGGAGGGACTGAAAAGCAAAGCTCAAGGGATCCGAGCCGAATCAGGAGGGACCCCGACTCAGCAATGGAAAGGACGTCTGAGACAGTCACCCACAGGCAACAGTCGAGAATCCTGTTATGGATGTAGACGAAATATCAACAGAAGGAGTAAAAGGAGGAACCGAAGGGCTGAGCAGAGGAGAGGGGGCCGAATGGCCAGGAAACGACGGGTACAGGAAGAGAGGATATGAAGCAGCAGAAGCAGGCAGGGGGGCCAGGGAGCAACCAAAGATCAAAAGCAGAAGAAGGATCAGGGAGGAAACCCAAGTGGCAGGCAGGATCGGGACGCAGACAAGCATAAGTAGAGAATAACAATGCGAAGGGAACCACAGGAAGAGAAAAGTCCGGATATATCAATATCAGTTAAGACGTGACGTGGCCAGATTGAGGATTAGGGTGAACGGGACAGGGACCCCCACCCCCCCAGTCACGAGGCATCTTATCAAACCATCCGAAGCAGCAGCAAAGGAAGGTGACTTCCTTAGGAGGATAATAGTCCCCGTCCCGGACTCAGACGGTGGACAAGACACGACAGGAGAAGGAAAAATCAGGACCCGAGCGAAGAGACGGATCAACCAAGCAACAAGGAACGTGCAGAGGAGGAAGAAAACTGACAAGAGGTACGGCTCAATCACGAACCAAAGTGCGTGCAACAGGAAAATTGAAATCGGAACCAGGACTTCACTCTCCTCCACTGACACGAGAGGTAAGATGATTGAGTCGATAGGAAGGATCT